GTTTGTGCCTGTGGGTACGCTTGCGTGATATCTCGTAGTTCCACAACCATGCCCTCATCGAGTAATGCAGGCGCTAGGGCTAGAATCAGGCGCTGGCTGGCTCGTTGGATGGTTGGCGACTGCGTCAGGATCTCGTGTTTGCCCTCGTCATTGTAACCTTGAACAACGAGGCGTGATTTCTCGTACGGGACCATGGTCTTGCCTTTGACTTCGCGGACCATGCGCGATTTGAAGATACGATACCCGCCGTGTAGAGTTGGATCAAACAGCTCAAAACTGAATACTCCACGGCCGACGAGGTCGTCGATCTCCTTCTGATCGGATGCTTCGAATGGAGCGCCCGGGACGTTAATCACGCCGTCATTGCGTAGCTTGACGGCCAGGGCGTAATCGTCCTCCTCCTTCTTCGACAGGTACTGCACCTTGGGCTTGTTCTTTGATCCAGGTGGGCGGCCCCGCTTGCGCGGCTGAGCCGCTTGGTTGGCTTCCGCCGGTGGTACCGGTAGTGGCGGTTCATCAGCAATCGCTTCGTCTGTGGTCGGAGATCCACCTGTGCCTTGATCTGCGCCGTCTATCGCTGTAGTCAGATCGCGATAGTACGGTTTTACGACAGTGGATCGGAACGTCGTTGGGCCGTTGATCATGTCTACAGTAACATCGTGGTCCTTCATATCGATGACTCTATACGGCCCTTGCCATCCATTCTTCTCGCGCCATACCATCACCTCACTCTGAAGAGGCAGTGACAGTACCCCGTCTGTAGTAGGCCCATTCCTGGTACCAAGTGCGTTGCTCACCGCATGTTCCGCTGAGGCCTTCCGCAGCGCCCTCATCGCTTTCTGGATTGCCTCCGCGCGATGGGTTATCGAGGGAGATGGTGGTGAATCCATGGATATCCGGGGGTATGCACCGAAGACGAGCAGCGTGGGTACGAGCCCGTCTGGGCCTGCGGTGTCGTTGACGGCCTTGACTGCCATCTGCAACACTGCGGCGTCGCTGGTGCCAGTGTCAAGCTCTGTCCTCAGGATCTCGTACGCGCGTCTGAGCGGTGCGTGGTATCTTTCTACCTTGCCGATAGACCAATGGGCCTCGGTTGGCACTTGTTTACATGTGATTCCCATGATCTTCGCCTCTGATCTGAATTCGACTGACGCGAAGTTGGTGCCGGCGTCGTGGGTGACGATATCTGGCGGCCCTTGGTATGTATCAATCCAGAGCAGGCGGAGTGCTTCCCAGGTGTCTTTCGCGCTCATAGACGGTAGAAATCGCGCGCCGTTGAATGTTGTAGCCGAATCGATCACGTGAAGCACTGGTTTCCCACTCAGATACATCACATCTACGAGGATCTCGAAGTTGAATTCCCGATCATCTTTCAGCCTAAACTTGAATCGGCGCGGCGCTGGATCATGCGCTTGGCAGTGATGGCAGAACGTTTGGATCTCTCGGAGCAGCCGTTCATCCACGTCCTCGTGTCCTGCGCGTTTGAGCAATCGTATCAGCCGTTCGACGGCTGGATGCCCGAACCTCCGGTGTAAGCGTCGGAGCTCAGTCTCCGTAAGGAATACGCGCGCGCGCTCTGCCTTGCTTAGGTGGAACCACGGGTGTCCCCATTTGCGAATCACTGGAAAGGTAGCTTTTCCTTGTACCAGCTGGTCCGTAGTATTGTTGAAGTACACGTGGAGCCGGTCCATGTCTTTCAGACAGAGGAGAAACGGGGTGGGTGCGTTCAAGACCTCAAATTTGATCTTTCCAATCTGTGTCGATACATGTGCGGTTCCAATCGAAGTAGTGACGCTTCCTTTGCCAAATTGCACAGATGCGTTTCCAGCAGTAGACGTATCTAGAGTTACGGTGGGGTCCTCAGTTTGGAGCGCCCAGAACTGCTCCTTTCCGGCTGTCGATACATTTGAGGCACCAGTGTCAGGAAGAATGCCTTGGTACGTGATTCGCGAGTATCGATCCTCGATAAGGAACTGCGTTGCGGGCGTAATAGGCTCCTTGCACCTGTAGACGTCTTCTCCAGTCACGTGGTGCAAAAAGGCCTGATCTGTGAGGTACTTAACTGCCAATCTTTGGTCCTCATCATCTTCGTCTTGCTCCTCTAGGAAGAACTGGTCGACTTCTTCCCCCTCGTACGCGACGAGAAATGTGCTAAACTCCATTTGCTCTCCCGTAATCGCGCAGTGTGTGATGTACTGCGCTTTTGAGCGTTTTCTTTCTTCAAGCGTGTGGTTTGTGGACCAACAGCCTGTCTTGCCGCAGACGTAACATTTCTTGTCGATTTGTGTGTTGACTCCAGAGCGGTGCTGAAGCCCACCGCGTCCGCGGGTGAATCCGCTGCGTCCACCGCGAGGGTTGTAATTCCCTCGCAATCTTCCAGAGCTGTTGTTGTTGTACCGACGATCCAAGTAGTACTGGCTATCCGTATCCGCCTCAGTGAAGTTGACGGAGACGGTCATGGCGAGTGAGTTTTCGATTGACGATCGCAGATCTCCAAACAGAACCTCGCATTCTAGAGACGGCTTGTAGAGTGCCATCTCGAGCTCCTTCACGCCTCGGCATGCTGTGATTACAGTCGTTCGGAGCGCGTATTCTCCCATGTACTGCTGTCCAAGTGCTCTTTGACACAATTGGAGCTTGTCCAGCATGATGTCAAGGACCTCGTGGAGGTTCTTTTCGGGGTTCTCCCTGCGGACTTTGACAAACGATGTCGTCGTCCAGTCCGCGTAGTAATGGCCGTGGTTGACGTCTGTGTCGAAGTGGTTCTTGAGCTTTGTGTAGGCAGTCAAGAACGTATCCATCCGCTGATCGACGAAGTGGAGGTAATACTCCTCTGCGCGGCCGTCGAGAATCCGTGGAAAGACTGCATGGAACTGCCCTGGCTCGATGTCTGCGTGATAACAGATGCTGTAGAAGATCTTCAATTTATCGTCTAGGAGGTCGTACGGCTTTCCCGTATACTTTTTGTCTCGGTCCCACATTTTCACGAAGACATTGATCGTCTTAGGATCCAGTTTCTCATTGCCAAACTCGATTGGTGGAACTGCCTTGTACGGGTCTGTTTCACCAGAGGGCACAATTGGGGGAACGCTCAGTCCCTTCGGACGTTGCGGGTATGCTGGTGTATACTCGCGGAATCGGTCGAAGTTGTTGTAGGTGAGGGGAGGTTGCTGACTTTGGACGCGCTGATAGGCTGGCTGCGGTGCGGATTCAGTTGTCTCTACAGGCTGGCTTCGGATTGGTTGGTTTTGGGCTTTCTCAATCGTTTTTGCTAGCTGGTCCTGAATCTGTTGTTCTTCCTCAACGGTCTCCTGTCGTCCTTGCACACGGGCGTGGGTCTGGTCTTGATCGCGGGTTTGCCGACTGTCTACGTCTCGGCCTCTTGTCCTTACAGGCGTTTGGGTTCGGCTCTGGGCCTGGCTTGATAATCTCCTGTCTGTGGACTGTACTGATCCTTCACTGCGTTGTTGCCGTAGTGCCCGCTCTTGCAACATGTGCGCAGCTGATCGTGTGTCAAACACAGCCGACTGGAATACGTCCTGAGGCCATTCTAGGTACTCCTCCATGCGTAATAACCTAGCTAGAGACTCACTAGGTGCCATATTAATACGGCCAGTATACACTCCCTTAAAGCGGAGGATCCGCTTTAGTTCCTTTGTGTATATTGGCTGGGCACGTAGGAACATTGCCTCTGTCCATCCTTCAAAGTCCTGACGGAACTCCCAAAAGAGTTCTTCATCTGCTGTTGGTCGATCTGTATAGTCCGCAATCGCACGCGCAATGTACGTTGTTGCTGTAGTAATCCCTACCTCATCGTCTGGAGCTTCAACGTTGTCCTCCCAAATCTCTGGATCGATGTGATGCCATTCTCTTGGTTTTATGTTTGTGGTCCCTAGTAGCGCCTCTAGTGTGGGTACCACTCTTCTACTACTGCTCGCCATTCCTACTGCCGGTGTCCTGGCTACCGGTGCTCTTTCCGATGATGTTCTCTCTCCTGCTATTGTGTTCTTGTTGACGCTTGTTGCGCTAGCTGCGTTCGCTAGAGATGCGTCGGTGGTCGTGGGTTGTACACGGGTCAAATCTCAACCGGTCGGTTGGCGCGTGTATAGACGGCGTCTTGGAACGCTTCTGATACGGCTGTAACGGTCGGTCGCTAGCCACGAACGACGCCTGATATAGCTAACAGTGAGCTTAGCATAGATAACTCCGCCTTGCTGATATAGGCAATCTAGGGAACGCGCGGGGTAAAGAATCTATCTCTTCTTAACCTAACTGTCTGTGACTGCCGTGCAATCACTGATCAGTGTTGGAAGGCCTTGTACGATCGTACGGTGAATAACAGTAGCTAAGGTAATCTTGTGTATTGGTATTCTGGTGTATGATGATTCTACGAATGTGGGGGCTACGAAGGTATACATAGCGTTGGGTCCGAGTTGGGCCGAAGTAGGATCGAGGCGGTACATTGGGCCTTATTAGGCGACACACCGTGTGTATGCCGACATCTATAGCATTATTAAAAGCTTAATATTATATCTCTTTTTTTATAGTTTCTAGATAGTTAGTAACTAATCGTTTATTCGAACAATCTGGATCCTATACCGAGTGATCATATAGCACTGAAAAATACCCATATTCAATAAACGGAGTAAAGTAGGAGAGAAAAAAACTGTTGGAAAGAATCTTACATTGAATGCTATTGGAAGTGAAACTATACACCATTACCCTACCACAAGAGTCTGATCTCAACGCAGCGCGAAAGCATCTTGACAGCGACTACTTCTTCTCTTCCTGGAACAACTTGACGACCTCCTTTACCATGGAAACCTATACACCATCACCCTACCACAAGAATCTGAGTTCAGCACATCACAGAAGCCTCTAGCAAGCGACTACTCCATCTTTTCTTGGAATAACTTGGCGACCTCTTTTACCAGGGACTCAATTTCCGGGGCTCCGTGCAGGCCATGCCACATCATCAAAAATGAAGAATGCTGCTTCCCGTGGTTTCGGTAAGTCTTTGGGATGGGCACCAGCATACTTTGATCAATCTTCTCACCTAGCTCTTCGCAATCGCCAAGTAGCTTAGATAGATCAATGAAGCATTTTTGTTCGTCATCCCGCATGACCTGGAAGAGCCACCGGAGTTGCGCCGCTGGAGTGAGGTACCCGTCCTCGTTCGTGTCCCCTTTGAGTTCATCCAGGGCGCGCTTGCGAAAGGCTTCTTGGCCCTTTGTCCGGGGTGCTTTGCTCTCATAATCATGGGTAGCGGCGAGGTCGAGGTTTTCGAATGCTATGGAGAGATTTTCATCACAATCTTCGGTGACAGCGGTCTGCGAGGCCTTTGGACATAGCCATGCCATGAGCTTGTCGTCCATGATCCAGTTCTGGAGACGCCGCAGTCCAATGAATGGGTCGTCTTCAGCAACTGTCATGGCTACCAGGATGCTACCGATTTCTGATCTGAAGAAGTATTTTTCCATCTCCCCCTTCGTCACTGTTTCCAGCAAGAACGCAGAGCTTTGTGCGATGTCGAATAGGGGATCTGATCGTTTGCAGAGCCATTTAGGCGCGTCTGTTCCCACGAAAATAATCTCTTCGCCGTCAGATTCTGCCAAATGGTCGAGATGCCCCCACTTTGCGTTCTGAGGTAGTCGCCCTGCCTCCACGAGTGCACTGCGTATCTGGTACATATCGTGGATTATCGGGAACCCGTTCGTGCCAAACTTGCGAAGAAACGAAGTAATGCCTGTTTGGACGACATTCTTGGAGCTTAGGAAGAATTTTGGTATCTCCGTGTTGATTGGAGATTCAGAAACGCCCTTTCCTCGCTTCTTCGCCTTGCGTTTGGCTGCCCAGCGCAACTTTCCGATCGCAGTCACCATCAGATCCTCATCGGGACTGGTGAACTGGTACCGGAAATCTGACAAGCTGTCAGGAAGGAGCGTTACGAAAGGGATCACGCGGCTCACGGGGCTCTTCCGATGTGTCTGTCGGAAAGACTTCCAAGGCTCGTCAACTTTGGGCCCAAGGATGTTGATGGCATCCACAAGCAGATCAAGTCCAAGCGGCTGCCAATCTCCAACAGTGCCTTCGCGGAACATGCGGCACATTGAGACGGTGAGCCGGTCACCGCCTCTGCTCTCTGGTAGTCTTCTCCATTCCGGCGACTCCTTTGGAGGCAGTACTTTTGCGGTCCGCAAGAACTCGCGGACTAGAAATGCCGCGATGTCCCACTTCTGCCGTGCGCTTTGTTCTTCGCGTTCAGGAATAGGAGCTTGATCTACGTCGATCAAGTCAGCAAGTGGCGTTGCGTCCAGCAAGATGCTGAGGTCCATACCTGGGGTCTAGCTGTTCTCTTCCCAGTATTGGAGCATAACGTCCAGTCCTAAGCCGAAGTGCGTCTCAGAATATCCAAGATTCCCAGCATCCATTTGCGACTTCCATTGCTGGTGTATGCGGTACAAGGGGTCGCTGTCTTGGAGAACACCAACCTTGGTCTTGGTCAGCTTCTTGCGGATAGTCTCAGTCTCGAGGATAAGCTCGGACATGCGCGCCTCAAGGAGAATGTAACCGGTGTTGGTCATCATGGCGGCGATCTCCAAAGATAGCTCTCCCTTCTTGTGCATTTGCCAGCATGACTTGCAGAAAGAACGGATAGCCTCAGAGTCGATCTGGAAATATGCCAGGTAGAAACCGTAGTTTTCCTCCAGCTCGTCTTCCTTAGTGCGACGCAAGGTCTCTTCACTGCTGCTACTATCCGCCTTCTCCTTCTCCTAGAATGTCTGGATGGACTCTTCCAATTCGGATTCAGCGGTGGATGGTACGGCGGGAGTGGGATTGTGCTGTTTCTTGAGACACGCTTCTACCGTAAGACGCACAGACAGCTGAACCATAGAATCCAATACTTCTTCAAGCACGCTGATGAAGTACTGGTGGCCATTGTGGGACTTGAGATCCTCAGGTGTCTGGTTCGGCTTATGCTGGTAGAAGGCGCTCTGTGCTTTCCGCAAGCGGATGACTGTCTTCAGATCTTTCACCACAGCTTGAACAGTGGAGATCTGTGGGGATGAGTGCTTGTACAATAGTTCAGCGGCGGGCTTGTACATACGTATTGGAAGTTTTTGGGGGTTCGTGCTGGAAGAAGACCCAATCATCTTCTCCCAACGTTTCGGTCCAACGACTTGGGCGCATTCGTTGTATAGAAAACTCGAGACATGCTTTCCAAGGCTCTTGTATCGCTCCAGGCGATTTTGAGAGGTGGTTTGCTGACTCATCTTGTTGTCGTTGATGTTTGAAACCCTGAGGTGATGGATATATTCATGGGGAAAAGGTAGATAATATATAGAAAGCAGGTCGAATGCAGTAAACACATAATGCCTGCGTGAAGTACCATTACAGGGGTAGTCGGGCGTATTGCAATACAGTGATAGATTCCAAAACCAGTGAACACTACCCCTATGCGAGTACGACCTTGACAATAACGCCCCTGTGCATGATCACAGCCAGTATAGGATCAATGACTTTGTAGATGCACTGTTCAGATGCGAGTAATAGCCTCCATCCGGTCTAGCGTTGTTAGCATCTCTCGTATTTATCAATCATTAACATCAAAATATCTTTGGGTATGGCATGGCTTAACTTTGCCCCGAACTCGTATAGAAATTGTGCATCCACTGGTGGGCGATGAAGATGTTGTGCACCCTGCGAGAAATGACGGAAGAAATACACAGCGTCGACGATCGTGCAATTTCGGGAGTATCTCATCGTATACGAGCCTCGCATTGGCACCACAAAGAGATGAACATGCTATACCGCCAGGAATACCCAAGTACAAGGTGCCATATACCTAGTTTAAGTATACAGTTGAAGTCCGAGACGCAATCACTCGATCAAAGAAAATTGAAACACACAACAAACTCAAGTCTGAGACATCAAGCTGAGCAACAATGGAATACATGATTCTGATGGGAGCTCTACCGAGCGTTCTCACACTTGTCTCATGTCAGACATGCTGACAACTGGCGATGAAAGACACTCGTTCTTACTGATTCCTAAATACTACACTTGATTGTATTGAAACCTACAGACTCAATCGCTAGTTACATCGAAATAAAATTGAAGCAAATAACAAAATCAAGTCAGACGTGCTGGGGACTGCCAGTAAAACAAACACATTTTTACCCAGTCCTAAAGACTATGCACTATCATCTACATATCATCTACAACGGCACTGTCTGTTCCATAGGCGAGTAGCAGTCAGGGCCGGTCGTTAGAGAGCTCAAATGAAATTAAAAAAGCATTCAAATGGCTAATTTACACACCTTTTCAAGATTTTGACAGAAGAAGGCTCCCACAATGGGCCACACAGATCCAGCAACTGTGGTGGCGTAGTGCCAATTTGCGACTAGCTGGTGGCGGGCTAGTGAGGGTGTCAGAGGTTTGGTGAAGAAAAGAAGGGACTGGTTACTCCGCAGCCGGAGAAAGTAAAAGTAGGGAGTTATTACTGCTAAAAGCTTTTCATCATCACTGCGTACCAGACAGACTGCCAGTGCCCTACATGAACCAGTCAGCCCAGATGGGCTTTTCCTGAACTCTACCACTGCTCAGCTACTACATCATCATCATCATCATCATCATCTGTGCGGACGTGAGACTATAGCAACGAATACACAGCAGCAAAGAAAACTCAAACTATGAAACCTAATCATGCATTCACCACACTAACCGAACAACTACAGCATCTCTATTTCTTAAACAACCCCATCTAATAAACCTCAAGCACATACCTCCCCTCATCCTTCAACTTCTCAATCTCCTTTCTGCTATCAATCTTCTTCGCCCCAACCGCGCTCTTAGCCTTATGCTCCACTTCAACCGCCTCCTGCAGCACCTCGGTAACATCCGGCACAGGCCAAGTAGGACCGCAAAGGTAAAAACTACCCTCCTTCTCGAGATAACTACGTCTGATATCCTTGAGCGACTCCCTCATGCGATCCTGGATGTAGATCTTCTGAGGCTGGTCACGAGAAAAGGCGCGACCGAGAAGAGTGATGATACCGGCATCTTGGTAGGCTTCCCATTCTTCGCCATATAGGTACTCTTCGCGCTGGTGGCGGGAGCCCATGTAGAGAAGGATCTCGCCGATTTCGTGGCCTTGCTGCTTTTGGTAGGCGCGCTCTTGGACAAAGGCGCGGAAGGGGGCGAGACCGGTTCCGAGACCTGCCATGATGATGGGCGCTGTGGTCTTGGTGGGGAGCTTCATAACCGAGGGCTTGACAGAGACGGTAACGGGAGAGCCGACCTTGAGGCTGTTGAGGTAGCGGGTTGCTTGTCCGAAACGGTCGCGGCCCTTGGGGTCGACCCAGTTGACAGTGACGATGAGCAGGGAGACAGAGTTGGGGGTTACGTGTTGGGCTGAGGCGATAGAGTATTCGCGGCGCTTCATGGGGTTGACGATACGGACAATATCGTGGAAGCTTGGGTGGGCAGATGGGAAGTCAAGCAGGATGTCAGCATAAGTGACGGTGTCCATCTCAGCGCGACGCTTGAACTCCGTAGCACCCTCTGGGCTGCTAATTTGACGAAGCTCCTGCTTCTCAGCATCGTTATCGGCGAATTCGGCGAGCGCTTCGTAGAACTTCTTGGGAGGGCGACCGAAGATGTCGACGTTCTGGATGAGAGACTGGTAGACAGTACGGTTCACAAGCACGTTGGGGTCCTCGCGGGAAGGCACCTCCACAACCTCGTTGGGGTTGAGACCGTACCACTTGATGAACTCGTCGACTTGCCTCTCGTCATTCTCAGCATGAATACCGAGAGCCTCACCGATAGCGTATGTAACACCGGAGTCGCCAAGGTCGAACTCTATGTGGAAGATGTTACGATCGTAATTTTGCGGGGTAAGACGGCGACGCTCCTTGACATGCACGATGCTAGTCTTGACACCAAGATCGGGACGGACCTGGTTGGCGGTTCCAAAAGCCTCCTTGAAGGCATAGCCCTTGGCTGCGACCTCCCAGTTCTTGAGCAGGGTTGGAGGCTCGGGCTCAATACGGTTGAACGGAGCAAAGCTGTTGATGTTGATGTCCGCGGGAAGAGTAGTAGGCTCAGAGTCTTCTTCTTCAGTGCCCCAGGCAGCAGGGACATCTATTTGACGGAGAGCGCTTTCAAGCTGCTTGCTAAGCTTCTCAAACACTTCAGAGTCGCCGTTGATAGCAGCAAGCTTGGACAGACCAGAGGTCAGAAGATCCTCACGGGCAATCTTCAGGAAGGCTAGCTGGGTGAGGTAGGATTCCAGAGATTCATCTTCAGCAACGGCTTCGGAAAGAGCAGGGTCAAGCACGAAAAGCTCAATATCCTTGCCAACGAGCGTCTTGCGGAAAGCAGGCGACAGCTTCTTCTCGATATCCTCATCCTTGACGCCAGGAAGCTTGACAATAACGGTGCCGTCCGCCTTTACACTGTTCAGCACGTCAAACTCTTTGAGAATGGCCAAGTCGCCAATGAAAGCGACATCGGCCTGCTCTACAGCATATGGTGCTTCGATTGTGTAGTCGGCATTGCGGATGTCCGTGCGAGTAACACCGCCCTGAACCAGGTTGTCATGGCCGCTGCGAACGAATACGTTCTTTGAAGAGTCGTTGGAGAAGAGCTTTCCAATCACGACGGGTGCATTTGCTGCTAGAGACTCGTCCAAGTTCCAGAAAGAGTATTGCTTGACGTCGGCAGTGTTCAAGATGTCGACGTATGAGCGCACTTCGGCTCCGGCCTTCTCTGCGTGGATCTGACGGAAAGCGTCAAGGAAGTTGCTGGGTGTCCAGACCTGCTCGCGCGAGTACTTGACGTCAGTCACTTCGACGTCCCTGTCGAAAGCAAACTGAATCGTCGCCAAAACGTCGGAGTAGAGTCTGGAGTACTCAGCAGGGTCGAGCACAGCAGCCTCATCCTTGACCTGACCCAGAACAGCGATGCGGCGAGTGCTCTTGGGGAGCGCTTCCAAGAAAGCCTCCTCTACAAAGGGACGGTAGACACGAACGTTGATAACGCCGACCTTGTCTCCGTCCTTTGATAGGGCAGTTGCAACCTGGGCAGTCAAAGATGCCTCGACGGTACCAAAGACCACCAACACGCTCTCTGGCTCCTCATGACCGTAGTAGTCAAAGAGCTTGTAGTCCTCACCGAGCTCGTCGTTGAAGGCCTGGAGCAAGCGCAGAACGCGGCCAGCAGTATCCGAGTGCTTCTTGTCCACATCCGAGACAGCCTTGAGTACCGCCTCGTAGTTGTCATATAGCCTAGTCTGGTCCAGTGTGTCGACCAGTCTAGCTGTCTCCCTTCCTACGCTTATTCCATCGTATGTGTGAATTGTGGGGAGAACGCTCGAGAGCAAGGTGGAAAAGAGAGCCATGTGCTGCGCCTCGAAAACCGACGGGCTGCAGACGAGACCAAGACCGAGGTCTTCAGCGAGTGTGAGGGAGGAGACATAGTCGGTGACAAGACCAGCGCTCGAGTTTGCGGAGTAGTCGACAGCAGCAATGTGAGCGGTAAGAGGGTTTGCAACCGAGTATAGGGCGGATAACTGATCGAGCGAGGCGCGGAGGTAGTTCAATGTCGACGAAGAGGCGACAATTGACTGAGGAATATGGCGTTTCTTCAAGTCGAAGTCCTTGGAGAACATGTATCCTAATGCAATGGCTCCAGCACCTGTCCGTGTCTCCAAAGAAGACACTCCAGTTTGGTAGCCAAAGGCATTTTTCTCCCCTTGTTCCTGCCAGTACTTGACTGCTACATCCAGGTCGAACGACTCAGCGGAGTAAGCAAATATCCTGTCTGAGAGGGCATATGCGACCTGCTGAACGAGAGTTTGCGCAGTGAGGTAGGTGGGGCCGCTGATAGATTGGTAGGAAAGGTCCTGGCCGAATGGCAAACTGGACGATTTCTTTGTGAAGGTTTTGGTGTTGTTCTGCTCGGCACCAGGGCCAGCGGATTCTGTTTGCTGGAAATGCATCTTGTAAACAAGATATGCGCCTCAGCAACTTGACCTTTCAATGAAGGATGTAAGTTGCTCTCGTTGATATAAGAGAAATAGTGTGTAAGAGCTGAAGTCAGTCTCTCCGAGGCTTCACCGTGGGAGGATACTGGGGGAGTGGACTGGTCGCCTCCTAGGAGTCAAAAAGTGCCGTATACTACCAGCGACATCGGCAGATTGAGGACCGAGGAAGGCGTAATCGTTAACATCAGCCATGATTGGCTCTTACTGCTCACACAAGCACGTCTTTCGGGCGATAGAGTGCAAATTGACGGAATATCGCCTCGACGCGACGAAAAGGCGTGTTAGCGCGAATTGCGTGCTTGAGGGAATGCCAAGCCGAGATCGCGACATCATGGCGGGGAAATCACGGGTAGGTATCGGAGATCTGATAGCCCAACTGAATTCTTTGCGCACCCTTCTCACACATTTCTGCACATCCAACCACCTCAAAACATGATATACAAGTAACATTTTTCAATGAGTTCAATGAAAACGATGGCTTTGCATTCAATGATTCCATCGTATTTTGCGTCAATAACCCTCTGATTACCAATATGAATATTCACGTAAAAATACATTGATACCACTGATCATTTACTCACACCACCACATAGCATACCACTTCACACTTAGCGACAACCACCGCCCATCTAAACAAGTAACGGCTTTGGCACACCCCTCTTGACACCTGGTTCGCCCAGACCAGGAATAACAAGCGGCGCTCTCCTCTCTATCGGCGTCCTTCCAACAGGGAAAAACTTCGTAATCGTATGGTCAGGTCTATACGCCTCCTCAACCAAATAGACAGTAACACGCCACCAAGCACATAGGGCCGCGAAAATCCAAAAGTAGCTCACTGCCTTCATGCCCATAGTGACACCACCTGAGAGACCGTCACCAGATGCACTCTCGTATCAGCGGCCGAGGAAGGTGCGCCGTTGTACGCAAACATGCAACACGCAATAGTGCTGCCGATGGCGAGGGAGAAGAGGCACATCGAAAGGACGATGTCGCGCGCCGTGGCCGCGAGAGCACCAGACCAGGTAATTATGCAGAGGATGACGAAGCAAGAAGCCAGCTCGGGGAAATGCGTATAAACCGAATGCGCTGGTATAGCTCCAGCAGCCTATTTGCAACAAGCAGCATAAGTACCATTTCCATATCACTACTCGTTCGGCTTTAATTTACCACGAAAGCATACAAAATCCCAATACCAATCCAAAAACTACCCCACATGGTGTTTATCAGTCACGAGCGTATCCCTCGCTTTGAACCCGTATAGACCGGCAATGAACTGCGCCAGTCCGCCGAATAAGCCTACAAACGGGAAGAAGATTGTAGGACTCTCCGGACTGCCCCACCAGTTGGCGATGTAGGACGATGTGATCCATGTTGATCCTGCGAAGCCTGCGAGACCGAGCGCGGCGGGTGGAGCGATGGGTCCTAGGAATATATGTATACCTGGTGTTTGCTCGAGTGTTTTGTCGAGCTTCTCGGATTCACGAGGACCGTTCAGAGCCATCTTCTGTTACTGAGGTAGGTTGCTGATTTGAGACGGAAGTATTGATGAGTATATGAGGGTAGTACGTTCGAAGAGATTTTGAGCCAGAAGAACCGAAGAGGAAGTGCCAAAATAGCCATATGTTTCGGGGCTATATGCCATTACCCAGGTGCGCTCCTTCCTGTGATGCAATCGCATCGTTTGCGGAGATAATGTCGTCGATTTCGTCGTCACGAGGTTATGACGACAAGAAGAGCGAGCCCGTGTGCTGATCACCAACATCGCGATTGTGCCATGCCGCATGCACGTACTGACATCACAACGATAGGAAACCGAAAGTATTAGTGGTAGAGTTTTACTGTGGATGGCGATCTTTGTCCTGCAGGGCTCGATGGAGATCGTAATGTTCGTAGATATCAATGGGCTGCTATTACCATCTCCGATCTGGTCAAATACAGTCCAAGTATACTGAACATCCTCGAATTGTTTCCTATGTCGTGGCTGAACCTGTTGAACAGATTCCGTAGCAGTAAAGGTAAGGAACTCCTGGTCTACAGAGTGAAACGATCCTGACCTGAAGTGAAAGAAATATGTAATTATGGTGCGCATTAAACAACTAGCGTAAAGAAAGATATCAATACATACATCCCATAATCAAAAGATAGACTGCAGGGCATATATTAGACTGGCAGGCAGGCGGAAGTAAGATGGAAAGATTGACAGTGAAAAGCAAGGAAAAGCAAGTCATTCCGACAAAGAGCAAGAGAAATTGAACGGGTATGAAAAAACTATAGTGAGAAGCTACAGCTGTCATGTACAGGATATACATGCAAGTTGGGAAAACTGATTGATGCGATAAGCTAATCACTAAGCCTCGGGCAATTGATGCACGCCATCCTCAGGAGCGCAGTCACAGTCTTTCGAAGCTTCCGCGATGCGTGGTGAGTAAGCTTTTGGACGTCCACTGAATAGACTGTGGGGACATGATGAATCTCTTTGCGGGGTGAGCTGAACTTGAGCACGTCTTGCTCCAGTAGAACCAGTAGGGATCGCAATTCTGGATGGTGTCGAGAGATCGCGTGGAGTGAGCGGCGGAGATGGTGTATAGCAAGTCAGGCTTCCGTTGTTAGACCACGCTTTCGTCGTTACCGATTGTGCGTAGGCTGGTTGCCGCTCTCTGATATCAACACAAAGAGGAAGAGTTGACCAGCGATGGGCGGTAGTCAATGAGTAAATCGGCCCACTTGTGAGTGGATCGCATACGAACCATGGCCGCATAATCCTGTTCTTCGTAAAGACGTATTTAAAGTTGGCCACGGTTTTGCGTAGGCTGTAGATTTTCCTGAAAGGAAGAAATGGGCCTCTTGGCTGCGAGCACTCAAGAGGTTCGCGCTCTGGATTAGACGAAACCGTCAGTTCAGTTCAAAACATTCCCGAAATTTTACCAATATCATAGGTAAGTTGTAGCAGCACGGTTCAACGGAGATCTGATGAAATGATGATGAAGACGGTGAAAAGATCTCAAGGTCACCTGAGAATGACTATTAGATGTAAGGACCCACGTACCATTAGACTGCAGGATATCTCCACCGTCCTACTGTAGGTCCGCATCCGCTGGCATGACGAAAGAGGTGTCTTCGAAATCCTTCAAGACATACTCGGCTAAGGCGTCTAGTTTCTTTCGTTGGACATGGAGTGCACCACCTCTGATGTCTTTCTCCCGTTGGCTCATGTTACTAAATAGTGAAGGCGCCTTGTTCTTTACAGCCAGTCCCTCTCCATTGCCGGACGCAAGATTGTCACTAGCCGCATCGCCCGGAAGCAGCGGTTTGGAGCTGGAACCAGGTCGCGAACTAGGGAAATCGGTTTCCGGATACCGAGGGTCCCCTTGCCCCTCGGGAGAGATTTTGAACGTCTGCTTTTTGCTAGGGGCGATTCTGCCAATAAGGACCAGCAGTAACTCTGGCTGAAGCAGACGCACTATGATGTTGCAGTCCTGGGTTTCGATAGTGAGCGTCCTGAGCGCAGGTCTGAGCGAAGGATCAGTTGCAGTCCCAGCCCGCGCAGGAAACTTTTGTCGCCCAGTACAGTGTTCTTTCCAAGCCATGGAAATGAGCGCAGCTTGATCGCGGAGCTCCTTAGTCTGGACAGGCTTTGAGTAGGCTAATAATGTGCCATTTGGGGACATGAGACTTCTCGTGTCAGCTGTGATGGCACCACTGATCGAGTAAAACTCACAAGAGCCGTGGATAGATGTGCTCATTAGCATTCTGTGTGAGCCAATCGCTCACTTTGGCGATGTTGATCATCGGTAGGCCTGTTGTTGGCATGATGAGCAGGTTTGATAGCGGATATTGGATGCGAAATAGTAATGTTCACGATGACTATTGTGATGCGCAAAAAGCACCGAGAGAAATACGTTTTGGCAGTTGAAAGCGATATGAATGGTGGTGATGCAGGAGACGGCCCACGTACCTGGCCAATGGTTGACACAACCCACTTGCGCGGTGCTGTGTGCTCCTGCTGAGTCACCGATTCACGCCTGCCTGCAGTGCAAGACGAATTCGGTAACAAGTGCTTGAACGCGAAAGAGGGATGGATAGATTTGCAGAAAGAGACTTGGTGCACGTCAGCTTCGTTGGCTTGATGGTGTTCGCGGTCAAGTCGGGCGCGAGAGCTATGACCAACACCAACAGCCTTGGAGCCGGAACCCTGTTTTCCCGCTGCACGTGCTTTCGCGCGCTCTTCGCTTCCATAACTTTTAGAAAGTCTCGTGCCATCAGTACGATATAGTTAGATGGTTGATGATGGCTCGTCGACTCTCAAAATATTGCTGCATTGATCTTGGATAATCGCGATAAGCAAAATGGCAGTTTAACATGCATTGTCGGCATGCCACATGCATCAACTTGTAGACTCAATGACAGCTGAGCTATCAGCCCACAAACATCAGTCCATTCATCTTCATCTCCCCTATCAACCATCAGTCTGAGTCCAAGTCTGAGGTTGTCTGACACAAAGCGATGTCATGATCTTCAGCCAGTCTTAGCCCCGAGCTAAGGCCGTGAGTGGTGAGGGGCAGATGGAGTGCACGCCATTGGTTGACACACGTCATCAACTTTTTGATCTCCTTTCCCCTCAGTTGCGCTGCGAGCGTATGAAACAGCTTGTTTAATGCTTTTTCTTCGTCCATCTCTTTTCAAGACAATTCGTGCAACACCAATCGCAATATTCCGACCCGCGAGACTAAATACCACTCCCACCTTTCTTGTCCGAGCGTTAGCAACCATGGCGACTGATCCATCCAAGTACAAGCTAAACCACTCAATGTGAGTACCGGCATGGCATTTTCTGCATACATTCCCCAGAAACTGGCCAATTGTTGACGACTACTAGGATCCGGGTCAAGGATCCCAAGCGATCTGTCGAGTTCTACGAGTTTTTGGGCATGAAGCAAATCAATCAAATCAAGATGCCTGAGGCCAAGTTCGATTTGTATTTCCTCGCATACGACAGTCCCAAGGCAGTGTCACATGGCAACCACTGGACTGACCGCGAGGGTATCGTCGAGCTGACATACAACTATGGGACCGAAGACGACCCAAACTACAAGGTCAATAACGGCAATGCGGAACCGGGCAAGGGCTTTGGTCATCTTTGCATTTCCGTCGATAACTTGCAGGCAGCGTGTCAGAGACTAGAAGATGCCGGCTACAAGTTCCAAAAAAAGCTCACAGACGGTCGCATGCGCCACATTGCATTCGTGTTGGACCCTGACGGCTACTGGGTTGAAGTGATTGGCCAGAAACCATTGGAAGAGACTGAGAGTGTAAAGGAGACGGACACCGGCTCGTACCGTATGGTGCGTATAAGTAAAAAGTCTACATTGTACCGTACTAATAAAGTCAGAACCACACCATGATCCGTGTCAAGGATAAGGAGGCATCGCTCAAATTTTATCAAGACGTCATGGGCATGAAACTCAAACGCACATCCGAGAATGCCAGCAACGGATTCAACCTGTATTTCTTAGGATATGGCGATGACGCTTCAGAAGGAACAGCAAACGGGGTCAACCCGGTCGCCGATCACGAAGGTTTGCTCGAACTCACTTGGAACTATGGAACTGAAAAGGACGCAAACTTCAAGTATCACAATGGCAACGACGAGCCGCAAGGATTTGGTCACATCTGCATCTCCGTCGACGATCTGGCATCTGCTTGTGCTCGTTTCGAGGAGAAGAAGGTTAACTGGAAGAAGAGGCTGACTGACGGTCGCATGCAAGATATCGCCTTTGTGCTAGGTAAGTCGTCGCATTTTTAGAGTACAAGCATGCAGCTGACAGATCTGTCAGATCCCGATGGTTACTGGATCGAGGTTGTGCAAAATGAGAAGCTCAAGACACGTAGTAATTGGTAAACGGGTGGCGCCTACTACCCGCACGTGGAGTACAGAGCTCGCGTAACGTTTGCTCAGCCTCCGATAGCTGCAGAACCACTTCGATTCCGGCTACCCGCACTGCGCGAATTATGCACCTCATGTACCATGACGAACGGAGGTTTTTGTTGCAATACACCCTGACTGAGGTAGTTAAAGAAATGTAAAAAGAAACACATCTACCAGCCGTCAAGATAACACAATGTTCTTTCAAACCCAAGCAAGGGATTCCCTTTCTTTCTATTTCTCGCATCTGTCATATTTGGAATAACTATAGGAATTCAATCTGCCGTGTGGCGTACTCCGTGGGGTAACAAAGTGCGGGGTAACTGTACCTACCAAGTAAGCTTATACAGAATACAGCCTGACGCAAAGTCCCGGCAGTCCGATAGCGGTCTGTGTTAATTGTGCAACGTGCAAATCCAGGAGTGATTCACCTATAAGAAGGCCAATGCTGACCCTTCTCTGAATTGAGTGTACAGTCCAACTCAGCACACAACAACAAACCGCAGCGTGAGGAATAACCAGCACGCAACAAGTTACAAGTCCTAGTACCCATCAAGGCTTCTTAACAAACAATACTCATATCTTTTGTGCTCAAATAATACGCGTAGATACAGAGTCATACACAAACATGGCCATCCTCATGCATACTACAAAACCCAAGATCCTCATCCCTGAAAAGGTATCACCAGATGGTTTGGCGCTACTGAAAGACCAGTTCGATGTGGACGAAAGTAGAGGATTAAGTCCGGAAGAGCTCAAGAGTATCATTGGCGACTATGATGCCCTGATTGTTCGATCGGAGACCAAGGTAACAGCCGAACTTTTGGGTGCGGCCAAGAAAATGAAAGTGGTTGCTCGTGCGGGTGTTGGTGTTGATAATGTCGACGTGCAAAGCGCCACTTCACATGGTATTATCGTGGTGAACTCACCTTCTGGCAACATTAACGCAGCAGCTGAGCACACCATTACTTGTGCGTGTCTCATCAAACATCATTTATGTTCACACTAATTAGAGATAGTATTGATGGCTGTGGCTCGCAACGTTGGTGATGCATCTCAAAGTATCAAGGCTGGCAAGTGGGAACGAAGCCGACTTGTTGGAGTTGAGGCCAAGGGCAAGACTCTTGCTATCGTAGGTCTGGGAAAAGGTAAGCTAAGCGTCCAAAGAATTGTTGATTGCGACTCACACATAGTCAGTCGGTCTCACAGTTGCCCGCATCGCAAATGGTCTAGGCATGCGACTCATCGCCTACGACCCTTATGCAAATCCAAACCTGGCAGCAGCGGCTTCTGTGACGCTCCGCCCGAGTCTTGCGGAAATCTTAAAAGAGGCAGACTTCCTGACGCTCCATACGCCTCTCATTGCCTCTACCAAGGGCATGATTGGTAAGTCGGAGTTGTCGACGATGAAACCTACAGCCCGGATTCTCAACGTAGCACGTGGTGGTATGATTGATGAAGATGCTCTTGTCGAAGCATTAGATGCTGGTACCATCGCCGGAGCAGGCATTGACGTCTTCACTTCAGAGCCACCAGAGCAAGACTCATCTGCTTCTCGTCTGATTGCACACCCTAAAGTGGTTGCTACACCTCATCTCGGTGCCTCCACCAAGGAAGCCCAGGAAAACGTGTCCATTGATGTTTGCGAGCAAGTCGTCTCCATCCTCTCTGGAGAACTACCCCGTTCAGCAGTCAACGCCCCCATCGTCCTACCCGACGAATACCGCACCCTGCAACCCTACATCAACCTAGTAGAAAAGATGGGTAGTCTCTACACCCAGCACTACTCCTCCGTCAAACTGGGTTCCTTCCGCACAACCTTCGACCTCACCTACGAAGGCAAGCTCGCCACAATAAACACGACGAAACCCCTCTTCGCAGCATTGGTAAAAGGCCTCTTGACACCCATCACCTCAAACTACGGTCTCAACATCAACATCGTCAACGCCGTGCTCTTGGCTAAAGAACGCGGCATCCTCATCATCGAGCAGCGCTCCCGCGAAAACGTAGAAGATAAACCCTACTCTTCCTTCGTTGCCTGCGCGCTCGCGCGTCACGCACCGTCTCGTAGCAATCCCGCTCCCGCAACGCTTCACCCTCTGCCTCACGCACCCTGCACAAGGCACCAACGAAGACGCCGACCAAATCATCCAAGGTTTCGTCTCCGCAAACCGGCCCTTCATCTCGCGCCTCGACAAGTTCAAGGGCGAGTTTGTACCACGTGGTACGCTGCTTATCTGTCGCAACTTTGACTCTGTGGGCAAGATTGGGTATGTTGGTAATGTGCTGGGGAAGGCGGGTGTCAATATCAAGTTTATGAATGTGGCGCCGTTGGATGAGGAGGTTGAGGAGAGGCAGAATGAACAGAATGGGAAGAATGGTGGACAGGGGCATAAAGAGGCGTTGATGATTTTGGGGGTTGATGGGCGGGTTGGGGAGGATGTGTTGAAGAGGTTGATTGGGGAGGAGGGCGTGTTGGAGGCTAGTGTTGTGAACTTTTGATGGTAGTTGGGGATGGATGAGGGCGATGGTTGAAAGTGGAGTCAAGGGGAGAAGATGGTAGCAACGACATGCATTCATTAAACAAAAGCAAATCAAAACAAGATATGGGTATCAAGCTATCCGCACCAGAAAACCTTCATGTCATCCCGCCTCGTATTGTACCATTCCACCTAAGCCTTCCCCTTGCCCAACTCCAGAATCTCCCCCATACCCATCACCCAAACGCCCTCCGCCGTCTTCCCCTCCGCACACCTAATCCCCGCCTCCACCGCTGCCCTCCCAATAACCCCCGCATCCTGCGCCCACCAATCTGTCAACTTGGGACTCAGTCCCCCCAACCCCTTAGCCACCCACCTAAACGCCGCCTCCGCCGGCCGCGACTCCGTCCTCTCCCCCACAATCAACCCCGGCCGCAAAATAACCGTATGCTTGAACCCTAGCGCCTTGACCGCATCCTCCAGCTCACCCTTCATCTTGGCGTACGCGAGATAAGAACCGCTGTTCGCCCCATTAGTACTAATCAACACATATGTCTCCACACCAGCGGCTTTCGCTGCAGCGGCCAGGTTATAATTGAGTTCATAATCGATGGCGCGTTGGGCTTCGACGCCGCCGACGGCCGCGCGCGTGGTGCCGAGGCCGCTGAAGAAGAGTTTGGGGTTCGTGGACGCGGCGGGGAAGAGCGACGGCCAGGTTGATGTGTCAGTGGCGTGGATGGGGATGAGTTTGGTGGAGCCGGCGGGGTTGGGGAGAGGGCGGCGGGTGTAGGCGTGGATTTGGGAGAAGGAGGGGTGGGCGAGGAGGTGGGTGAGGATCTGGTTGCCCTGCGGTTTGGTGGGTTAGATTTTGGAGAGATGGGATGGTGGAGGGTGAGGGGGACGTACGACGAGGCCTGTGCTGCCTGCTAGGACTGCTGTTGCCATTTTGGGCGGTTATGCGCTAGGTAATTGCTTGTTTTTTCTTGTGATGAAGATGGGGGTGTTCGTTGTTGTTTACGTGGTTGCGACGAAAGTTTGCGCCATTGTGAGCGCGGGTCCGGGATGGGGCCGATGTGGCGTCAGACTGAGGCTCGATTGAGCGCATGTGGTATCTACATGTTGTTTATCGCGAAGAAGAAGCTATGGAGATGTAGTACTATCCACTACTAACTACTGCGACTATATCCTGGAATCTCTACGACTAACACGAGACTAAAAAGAAGAGCCTCATAGTAGACTCCCATCAAGAGTGCTGAATAGCCTACCACCAAACTAGCCCACCTACCCAAACCCCAGCACGCAGCCCACACAATCAAACATTCCTACTCACCCATGATTTCGCAATTACGACAAACTCATCGCACATGTCACACCATCGTCGTATCACCCTCTGCATGTCATCCGCCCTGTACCAGCGCTCGCTGACTCACTAACCGCGGCACGCATCGGCGGCTGCCTAACATCACACCACTCTCTCGCGACCCAGAACCGTAGCCGCGTAAGGCCTTATCCGCCGCCACGCGCAAATCCGCTTTCAAAGATCCTGTTGGTGAGAAAGCTTTGATAATTTACAGCGAGTAAGGGCTGGATAGGGAAAGTCTTGGTTGCGGGCGTGGATGGCTGTCGCGAGGTTCCGGGGGTGCTGCTCACGCCATCGGCGCTGGTGGTGCGATGTGGGAGCTTGCTTACGAGGGAGTGGACGCAGATGGAGAGGGAATTGTAAGGGCGTTTGTTCTTGGAGTGGTATATAGAGTAGGTTGCTGTGCTACTATAATAATCATCTCAGTACGATATCCAGTAACTACATCTACATCTGCATCTACAACAGTGACTGGCATTCAACGACCGGGTTATACGAAACGACTACATCGGCAGCTACATCTACAGCTACAACACAGAAGATCTGATCACACTCTGCGATACCACAACTATCTTCTTCATCAAACCGCACCAGTCGACCGAACAACCTAAACCAACTACATAACATCAACACCAAGATGCCATCAGCAAACCCCCGCATCATTTCCCGCACTCTCTCCAGCATATCTCGTCTCTCTAGGGGCATGGTCGAACCACATCCGTTTGCTAGAAACGCCGTTACTACAACACCGCATGAATGGCGCGCTGGGGATTTGGCGAAGAGGTTGGGCAAGACGAGTGCTGCGTAAGTTCATCTATTTTCAAGATATATGAAGGAAGCGAGACTAATGTATAGAGTAGGTACGTTCCGTTCTACGTTGTCCTGCTTGGATGGCCGCTGGGTGCGAAGTGGGCTTTGAATGGACGGTTGTGAGGGAGTGAGATGGGAAAAGAGAGGATGGATGAATTGGGGAGGTGAAAGGGGTCATGAGCATAGACAGGGAGTTATTGGAGTTCTCAAATTACGGGATATGGGAATCTGAACTGAGAGACTGAGAGATGGGTAAACATGGAGTGAACTTCTCATTGACCAATTATCTACAAATCGGCCTTAATATAGCAACAAAGGCTCACACATAAACTTCCAACACTGAGCTGTGCCGAAGATGGAGCGACACACACTCGAACATGAACATCCATCTCTAAAACCTGCCACATCCACCCCTGGTACTCTGACCGTAGTCTACAAGTCCAAGACAATGGTACCCACACCCCTACTAACACAGCTCAACATGCTCTCCTCTTTTTCATTATCCAACAAGCCCGTACCGCGATGTTCGACACGCCCGGAACAGACATCCACCTTGCACGTACCACAGTTACCAACCTCACAGGAGCTATCAACGTCCATACCCACAGCCTGCAGCGCATCCAACAAGCTCTGCGCCGGGCCCACTTCAACCTTTTTTTTGCTCTGCTTGAGCTCAACCGTGAACGGGTCGCCGGATGTATTCACAGTGAAAGCCTCAATGTGAACACAAGACTCAGGGATACCGTAGCTCTTCGCCGTGTCAACAACAGCATCCATGAGACGTGTAGGGCCGCAAGTGTAGATATGAGTCTGATGATCGGCTTTAGCGAGGATAGCGGAGATGTCGAGACGCTGGCCCTTGGATTTGTTGTAAATCTTGGCTTTTGATCCAAGAGCGGCGATTTGAGATGCGAATGGCACTTCCTCTGAGACGGCGTAGTGGAGCTGATAGATCTGGTCTGCGTCCTGGAGGAACTTGAGTGCGACTAGGAACGCTGTGATACCGATACCGCCTGCGATGATGATGTGCTTGTCTGCGAGTTTGGCGAGGGGAAAGCTCGCGGTGATGCGTCCGACGGTCAACACATCGCCGACTGCAGTGTTCTCGTGCATGTATTTTGAGCCGCCACGGCTGGATGGGTCAAGTGCGATACCGAGCTCAAAGCGCTTTGATGTCCCGCCCACAACGGAGTAGGCGCGGACGAGTTTGCCGCCGAGCTTCAATCGCACATGGCTGCCAGGCTCGACAGGAGAGGGGTCGACAATGTCTTCTATGGTTTCAAAGACAAAGGCTGTGACAGTGCCCGTCTCCTTGCGTTTCTCAACAAGACAATACTCATTCCATGTGTCCATCTTGGCACCCTCGGGGCCATTCATCCTACCTAGCTGATCCTCGATGGTGCCCTTGTTGAGCCGAGCCTTGAACTTGTCCTTGACATCAAAGCCGAGTTGTGGGATCTCGACAATGTGCTTCATCATCTCGAAGTTGTCCAACTCAATGAAGAGGTAGTACATTACGCGTGCCACTGTCCATTTAGGATGTGGGCGCTCCAACAGCGAGATCATGTCACCGGGGTTGACCGTGCCTGTCTTGATGATACGGTACATCCAGCCAGTTCGCATAAGCGTCTGGACGCGCTTAGCCATATTCTTGACTTCAAACCGGTGGTTGAGCTTGAAGCATGGCTGCCTAGGCTCGCTGACTTCAACGATGATCTCTCCGATGGCAAGGCGATCGCCAATACAAATATTCTTCTCGCCGACCTCATGATTGAACAGGTTCTCACCAAAGGCGCCACCCTTGAAGTGGTGTTCAGAAGCTGGTAGTTCCTTCTTCCACTCGTCGTAGTGCGCTGAGCAGTAGTGGAGCAGTGCCTTGTCTTCGCCGCCGTGCATATGGAATGCATGTTCGTCTGTTGGAATACCGGTCTTGCAGATCTCTTGTGGTCCCGCTAGAGCGTTCTTGTAGATTGCTGATACGATCTTGCCACCGGCAAGTGACTTCTTGACTTTTCCAGTGCGGACATGAATGAATGGAAAAGGGTCAAATGGCGGGGGGTTCTTGAGAGTTTCCGGATCGGGAGGCGATGGCGGAACCCATGTTGAGGTTGACATTGTGGGATATCAAGAACAGGTCACTTCCTGCGTTTGATATCCGATGTTCCAGTCCAGAGATAGTGTGAGTGTATCCAAGTACTAGGATGGTCGTAGATTGGGGTAATCGTTGTTATCAACTATGAAGTCAGGTGGGGAGAGAAGTGGTGAAGAGGGTTGAACGGAAGTGTTGGGAATAAAGGGAAAGAATAAATAGATATGGTATGGAACTAAGCCCCCGAAGGCGCGCGACAGGCCTAATAGGGCTAGCAGCTCGCTAAATAGCGTGAATTGATAGTTGTGGAGAGTGCATAGGTCTAACCTAATCAAGGAAAGTAGCGACATTGTGTGCGCAGTTTACAGTTTCGTACAGCCTCCTATTCCCGTACACTACGCAAGTTAAATAAGTAGGTAAGGGGACAGAAATTTAATAAACCAGCTCGAAGTGTGTCGTTTGATATGCCAAGCTGACACAATCTATTACCGCGATACGCTCCGCTTACGAGACTCATCCCTCGTCTTCTTATGCGGCCAAATAGCTGCCTATCTCCTGCTGATGACATAGTCCACACGAAATTCAAATTCGTGATCCTCAATAGACCCTTGAATATGGTGGCCCTCACGCCGGATGTAGTTTTCGATGTCAGACACCCTATAATTGGCATGTACATTTCTCCCATCCCTAAGTTGCGGTACTGTCTCAGTCTGATGGCTTCGGGGGGAATCAAAGTACTGGTAGTCCGGGTCAATTGTGAAATCAACCGATTCCCAGTCGTCTCCGGGTCTCGTTACGATTCCAACAGTAATGGTAACCATATCGGTTTCGTCGTTGTAGTCGACGATTGCCGCAAATCTGCCGTCGGAGTGGTCGCGGAGATACCAATGACGCAGGTAGTTGAGGGTTACGGTAACGGCGACAAAGCCATAAATTAGCGGACTTTCACCGCCTGGCTCTCTTGCCTCCAGTCTGTTTGGGGGGGGAGACAGGTCGGTAACAGGAGCACAGTTTATGCTACTGGTGATGGCTCCCAGTATGAGCAAGAGGGGTGAAGAGATCTTTATTTTCGGGTTGTGTAATGCTATATAGATTGGCTTTCAGATAATGCTGCCGTAGATCGAATTGATGGAGTTGATGTGAATGTGTTGCGGTTTGTGAGGCAAGGGTATTGCGCATGTCACGTGTGTTGTCCTGGCGCTCCTCCCTCCCCTCCATGAGCACTTTCTCCCCTTACCAGCATCAGAGATACGTCATGTAAATAGACCCTGATTATGGCTACATATAAGGTGGCCATGACAGCACAACAACAAGACAACACAATACAATATACTCTGATTACTGCCTTGCGCGGTTACACTTTAATTGACTGCATATACTGCAACAGAATGTTTGCATTGTAGCAGGAACCTTTCTAGCTCGCTACTTATAGTCTACTCGGCGGTAATCGACTACGGTTCCTTCCAAAGGAAAACTAGCCTCCAAATAAATCGATATGCTGAGTACGAGATGGCTAAGGTGAGGACCGATTGCCCATGTAACCACTCCATAATCACATGTCAATGACAGCCAGAAATACGAGTATGTGGTCGCCGCTCCGTAATCATGGTACACCAGTCCGTAAGGGTCAGAAGTACGAGTGCGGGGTCGCCGCTCTGTACCCACGGTCTACGAGTCAGCTTGGTACGGTGAGAAGTACGAGGTTGGGCAAAATATTGGATATTGAAATTTCCTGCGCCGTATCCGCACCAGGAGCACAATTCCCGGGTTCTGTTCTGTTGAGTTTTCTTCCTGGGTCAGTGTAACAGCCGAGGCTCAGTGAATTCACATTGGGCCCGGTACCTATAGGGCTGGCAGGTATGTGTATGCGATGCAGTGAATCTCCGATCCAACTTGAAATCAGCCAATCTCCCCGACCCGAAGTTACTGCGGTAGCCGATGAGAACATGATGCATGTATGTACACCAAGAAAGACCTGATTCTCTGCTATTGTTGATATCATGTGATCGAAGCGGATGGGACTCATATGGCGGTGGAAGTGGCTGAAGTCAAAGGCACGTGCAACCAAAGACGTCAATGAAGCAATGACGTCACGGCGTGTCAAGCTTCGAGCTACAGCACCACCCGTCACGTCAACAGGACTCCCAAATCACCGCACCTCCCAAATCACCATCTCTGAAACATCAGAGATTACTCAATTGATCTTTACCCCGACCCATCATGTTCCGCTTCCAGTCTGCACGCGCACTTCAAGGCTCCACCCTCTCCCGTGCAGTCATCGCTCGGCCTCAATTCTTCTCGACAACACCGTCTCGCTTCGCTCAGAAGGATGCGCAAGACAAAGACTCGCTGAAACCACGCTCGACCGAGTACAGCAAATCTGGATCAGACGATAGCGCAGCACACTCAGACGCAGCTTTCAACCCCAACAAGACAAGCCCTGAAGAGGCAGAGAGGACCGCCGAGAAGGAGGCAGGCGGAAAGCAGAACAGCATGAACGTCAGCCCTGGAAACAAGGAGATCAGCGACCCGAATAGCCCTGATGTAGGAGGCAACGGAGGAGCACCGGAGAAGAAGAGCAGCGGCGGAGGCAGTGCGCCTAAGAACAGCTCAGGATGATTGGTATGGTAGTGTGAGGATTCTACATGGAGCCAAGACTACGCACGCCCAGGAATCTTACGGTGCTTATAACGCCCAATAGCATATGTGACACTTTTCAAAGGAACATCAACGAGCATCACAGCGCTGTTACGACAATCGCGCGGTACTAGGCGTATAGTGGGGAGTTTGTAAATAGAGCATCTGGAAAACAGATTCTGTGCCACAATTACCTCCGTTTGAACATTTTTCTCTCACTCCGTCCCAAGCCAACCCTGCAGATTTTCAGTCAATGCTGCGCAAATTCGGCTAAAGCATCCGAAAGAGACGTTTTGGATCGTGCACATGCGTGTTTATCATCGTGTGGAGCATTGCTGTCTTGTTTTTGAGTTATGACGTCAGAAACTTTGACGAGCATTTACACTCGCAAATGTCCTTCAAACAATTTCGCATACTCTAAGTAACCTTCCAATAGACTTTGACTACTTCAAACACCTATAACACTTCATCTCGGGCCTTATATCCTATACAATGGCACCCCGCACTCTCCTCACCGCTATGCGCCCACTTCGCAGCCCAATGATCGTCTCCACACGGCGCGCATTCGCAACCACACCGCGCATGGCAATCAAAGAAGACGCCGACCGCACCCCGGAACAAGTCGAACAAGCAAAGCAAGAACAACTCAGGGAACAAGAACAAGGCAAGGGACGATGGCGCGAAGACCTTGCTAGCCACGGCGAAAGCAACATCGCTGCCGACAAGCAAAAGGTCCACGACCATGACCAACACATGAAGGAGCTGCAACAAGAGGGCAAGGAAAAGAGCGAAAAGGGCGAGATGTAGGCGGTGGAGCAGTCGCCAATAATGGATCAGGGGGATATTTGGTGAGGGAGATGGTTGGCGCGGCACAAAGTGCCGATTGTTGGGAGGATGCAACATGCTACGTTTATCTCGAGGACGATCACACCAACTCGTCTACGCCTACCTGAATGACACGTTTTGACTACCTATCTGAAATTCTCTGACATGAACGTACAGCCGCAGCTATCTCGGACATATGCTTACCCCTCACACCCAACAAATCCATAATCCAACGTGAGCAGCCACCTCTGCAACGTCTAACATGAGATAAATACAGTAGAGAAGAGTGGGATCCATTTGAAACTATATTTCATGTCAGACATCCGACAGACTAACCTAATAACACTACACCATGGCTACAGCGCTGCAGCATCGGCAGATGCCGCTGAAGCAAGAACCAATCGGGGCAGATTCTATTCTCGATATGGTCTAGCCGCACTGGAATGGCAAGATCTCTGCCGATCCTTCACTGTACCATCTTGCACAACCGATAAGGAGCATGACTCGAGGTGAGCCTGTCAAAGCTCCGCGGCCAACGATTAGTTCCTTAGTCCGCTCGAGTATACGTCGCTGAAATTCCCTCTTCCATTCATATGTGTCACGTCAGCCTATATATACGACATGCCTCCCAAGTCCCAGCGAAGCAGAGCTTGCTCACAATGTCGCTCTAGGCGGGTCAAGGTTTGTTGATCCACTTGAGGAAAATCACAACCCCTGACGATTCCCGCAGTGTGACGAGACACCGGAGATATGCAACCAATGTCGTCGTCTCGGGCTCACATGCTCTGGGCCACTCCAAGGCTCTATCGTCATCGACATGACCGAGCGTGTTGTCAAGCCCCGAGAACGTAGAAAGAAACAGACAACGAAAGTGGCCGTGCACGAGAAGAACAATGAGAAGAAGCCATTGACAAACATCGACTCTACGATTGTGAGAGTGCAAGACAAAGACAGCGCGAACAAGGCGGCAACAGAGGACTCCCTTTCACAGGCCATGTTTCCTGCGCAGAGTGCAAGTCCAAACGTAGTAGAGAAGGCCATCACGGCAATCAGATACCAATACAGACCTCCCCAGTTTAACCAGCCTTCGAGGGTCCTGCCTGAGTCTCTCGACGTCGCCTTTCTTTGCCATTACGTTGAGCTTAACAGGTCCGGAGAAACAGATGCACCCCAGGTCCAATGGTTTTTCCATCTACCCAAGCTATATGAAAATGCCAGAAAACCTGCTGTTAGACTCTCTCTTCGGGCAGTATCTATGGCCTTTTATGGCAACTACCATCATGATCCTAGTATTCTGGTTGACTCCTGGAGGTGGTACACTATAGCCTTGAGTGCTCAGCGCGTCTCGGTGGAAAAGCTCAGAAGAAATGGCATGCCAGATGAAGAAGAGGTCTTGGTACCGCTCATACTGGCGTTATATGAGATATATGTGGGCGCATCTGCCGGTGGCTCCATGGCTCATCTTGCGGCTTCAGCTGAGATTATGAATATGCGAGGGCCCAGCAATTGCAAGACTGATGCCATCTGGCCCATATTCAAGGTTGTGCGCAGTTCAGATGTATGTTTGTTGTGTCCAGCTATCAGACGTGTTTACACTAACACCCACCAGGCCCACAAATGCGTAGTCTTCAACAAGAAATCAATCTACTCGTCCCCAGAATGGATGACAATCCCTTTCATCGACATGCCCCCTGATCCTCACCAAAGTCTCGCAAACATTGAGCTCATGCTGCCAGACTGCGTGACTCTTCTAGGTATCCCAGGCACTATGCGCGCCGTATTCGACACGCCCATACCGCCGCACGTGGACACTCGGTCCTGCGCGGATCTCGCAATCAAGCTACTGGATCAGCTAGACGAGTGGGCAGACACATACCCGCACTTGACCAGATTCTCCCGAAGTCGCGAAACCACACCCGTATCCAACTCTCCCTCCAAAGCCAGCAAGAACAAAGCGCGAAAGTCCAACTCCATAGACACCGTCACCGCACTCGTCGCTTCCAACTACGCCGCCGACCGCCTCCACCTAAACTCTCTCATGTACAAGATACATACGCAGTCCACCACGCCACCGGAATCCGACGGAAATTCTACCGCACATTATTTCGATGAGGCAATGCAATGTGGCCTTGATATCATGAAGGCGATGGCTGCGATCGAACAAGTTTCTGCTCCTGGTCTCGATTTGCTGCGTAGTATTGCGCCGCTTGTTACGGTGGGATTTACGGCGCCGGATTTAGAGTTGAGGAATGATGCTATGGTTATGATGGGGAGGTGGGTTGGTAGGGTGGGGGGACTGGGCGCTATTTTTAAACATATGTGAGGGTTGTTTACTTCTGTGTGGTGTTTCTACGTAGTGGTATAGACGACCTCGCTATTCTTAGCTATGTTACTAGAGTTAGAACGTCCATGGTGTGGATCACGATGGCGACGCATATTTCTTCTATCCACAGTCTCATCACATGACCCTTGCGCTCATGTCTGCATACTTTTTTCCACGCATTGCTAGTAATCATTTTCCCTTGCCAAACGTTAGTACCCTTGAAATCCAAGGGTCTTGTCAGATACTGCGACGATTAGGTCCACTTACCTCACGACGTAGTACCGGTAGAGTAGGCGTCATCGAATTGTCGGCCGTGCGTGGGGGGCATCGAGGGTCAATGCGCTGAAGGAAACTGCCGGGAGGCCACTTCAATGAAGCATCTCACCATGTCATCAACTCTTTCATTCCCTCTTTGTTCAGTATTCCCCGCTATGCAGAATTTGTAACCGTATATGGGATTGTGATTGCGCAAACGTCCTGCGATTTCTGGAAAGCGCTGGTTACATGTCAAAAATCAGTTTATGTTGAATGATGTTAGAAGTGCTGTCAGCTATAAGAAGTTGGTGATAGGGTTTATTTCCCTTTGAGGTAGTGATGATGGCAGTTTCTTAGGGCTGAATGTGATGTAGCATAGATCTCCAGGTTATTTGTATGAAATTAATCGGATGCAGGTGCTATGAGGTGCAAATGCACTCAGACGGGTATGGTCAATTTGGAGATCTATGCTTTCAATATCAACAGACAACCGGCGATGGGTGTCTGCATTGCAATGAAGGTGATGAGAAAAATGAACACATGGATCCACGCTAACACCACATTCTCATTGTTAAAGGTACAAGAAGAATTCTTTGTCAGTAATCCCGTCTTTGTTCGATATAGTACAACGCCATGTCCCTTTGTTGAGTTGGTTGGTACTTACAGCCATCTTTGACAATGAACGTCCGCAAAATTTATCGAGTAGTGTCTTACATTCAGCTATACCCTCTCATATCGACTATAGTAATTCCTTGGTGCTCGGAAACTACCAAATGGCGCTACAAACAAGGACAAGATACCCTCTTGCCCGTATAGAGGAGAGAACACAGGAGGAGATAGACATGTGGAATGAACAAATCGGCGCACCCGGACAAATTGTACATTGGGAACCATTTCCAAGACATCCACCAGGCGTATCCTTCACCCAGCGAGTAGAGCTCTTGAATGGCGAGATGAAAATGCGTGAAAGCAAAAGAAAGTGCGAGAGGTCAATGTCAGAGGCGCGCGGGTATCATGAGGAGTACATGGAAAGGCTCTTGAAGCAGCAGCGGAGGGTGTTCAAGATTCGATCTAAGATCGAACGTCGGGAGGTAGCAGCGATTGATGCCAGGACAAGAGTGACCGAAAATCAGCGGCGAGTAGCTTTTGAGGAATGATTTTGCATTCCACTTGTTAGAAGATCCGGTGAAGTGGCCTCCACTCGCTCATAAGTCGCGCTTTTGCACCAACCTTATCATCTGTGGTCGCGAGCTAGTTGTAACTAGCCCCAGTCCCACACCTAAAAGAGCATCAAATTGACCTGAGCAAAACGTCTGAATAGGCTGACAACGATGATGGGCATTCTTTCCATTTATCAACTCAACCATTCGCCTACGTACAGAATTCGTTGAGATTGAAGCGGCGAACGTCGAGGCTACGTCGGCAGAGTGCACGTTCATCCCCTATACATGACAATCGCCAGGGCGACCCTGTCTCCCGGATCCGCAAAGATTTCTCGCCGTCTTCAGTTACAAGAAAGCAAGGCCATGGTAATATCGATAGCGAGGAAGATGATGTTGCGCCCAAGCGCCGCCATGAGCCCAGTCCCACCAGGTCGGTGTCTGTGGACCTAGGAGAGAATATGTACGAGAACGAAACACGCGTTTTGCTCCTCAAACGTGTAAACAAGAACCGGGAAGACGATCCGCTGCCTCTATTGGATTTCCAAGAGGCTCTACCACCTATTATGTCCACCAAAGTGCGAATGCACATGGGCGTGTTCGATATGCGGATAATGCGTATCAAGAGATAGTCGTTTCAAGGACACATTGTATCGCCGCGAATGAGGACTCAATCTATCGCTTCTGGGCTGCTGAATTGGAGATGAAACAGACGGACACTGTTATAGCTGCAGTTTGAGGAGGAAGAGACTGCAAAGGCTGCATCTGTGGCGGGACCATCGTGATCCGAAGATGGAGTGGTGGAGGCAACGTAGGAGCAGGCTTTGATGGCTGGAAAATGGCGTGTATGGATGAGGGAAAATGGAAGAGATTGCGCGAACATGATTTATGAATGCAAGCTCATTGGTTCCAAAAGTGAGGCAAGTCAGATTTAAGCAGATTCCAAGGCTTCGGTATAGGGCTGATGTGTCTCTCAGCTCGTTTGGAACGTCTTCGTATGTATGTTTCTCGGTGAAGTTGATAACCCTGAGGATAACCTAGGTAGCTTCCATATTCCAATGCAGCCTTTGTGCTCTTCAAGATAATCAATCAGATTTCGATGTTGGTAAGTTATTTGTAAAGCGGTGTTGCTCGAAAGAGAACAGGGGAGATCGGCTGTTGAAACCTCAGGGTCTTGTCGGATCCGCATCCGATACGGCGGGCGCATCTCCATCTGACCCCCAACCCAACGCGTCCGAAACTCTCTTTTATCATCCCATGCATCTCTGTCACGGATGACTGCGGGAGCCGCATCATTATATGTCCGCAAAGTCCACGTTGTACTCCCACAGTCAGCGTCACGCGCAGCGCATCGCGTTTATCGCCCCCACAAAGTGGCGGGGAAGGTCCGGTTGACCGAATAAGGAAACAGTATGCGGCTCCGCACCCAAAGTCCACAAAATGCTCAGGATACGTGCGATTCCGCCATTGAATCTTGTGGGCCGGATCCTGATCGGTATTGGTATTCGAGTCCGGTGAGGGGCGACGTTCCTGGCCCCGGGTAAGTCGTTCCTATATAGTTCCTGGTCAGGTACCTGTATCTTCGTCAGTCTGCTACGAGCCAATTGTACTTTCTACCGCACACCTACATCCTGATTGAAGAGATATCGTTCAGAAAAAGACCACAAAATGCCTTCTATTCACCCCTCAATCGATAACGGCATCACGAAAGGCAACCCCAACTTCAAGGGCGGCAAGCTCTACTGCCATTGCCCCACCAGGAAGGTCGAAGTCACTCTCGCCAGCAATGTCGCACACAACCATGCTTGTGGCTGTTCGAAATGCTGGAAGCCCAAAGGCGCTCTGTTCTCTGTCGTCGGCGTGGTTCCCAAAGACGCCGTCTCTGTAACCGCCAACGGCGATAAACTCCACATCATCGACGAATCAGCCGCGATCCAACGAAATGCCTGCAAGGAATGCGGCGTTCATCTCTTCGGTCGTATCGTTGTCGACCACCCATTCAAGGGTCTGGACTTTGTGCACACGGAGCTGAGCCCCCAGAAGGGCTGGCAAGAACCTCAGTTCGCGGCGTTTGTGAGCAGTATCATTGAGCAGGGGTTCAAGCCGTCGGAGATGGATGCCGTGAGGGAGAAGTTCAGGAAGGTGGGGCTACAGCCGTACGACGTACTGAGCCCGGCGTTGATGGATCTCATCGCGACATATACCGCGCAGAAGAGTGGTAAGCTGCCATCGAAGCTGTAAGACGGAAATGCATGGATGGCGTTTGGTTGGGGTTGCAAGAAGCTAGGTGGTAGGAGGTCATATAGAAGAGGAAACGAGACAACTCTTATAAGTTGAATAAAATCATGGGCAAGACACTGTCTGCTTGTCGCAGGTGGGATACGCACCCTTTTATTGCATACTACTGAGCACCGAGATCGCACGCTAAACCCCGCTAGCAGTGTATGCGTGGGATGGCCCACCATTCCGTGGGTGACTGACACTTGCTTCTAACCGCTCGTATGCTCGGAATCTGTAGCGATACTGCTCTCTGCGCCTGTAATTCTCTCCTCATGGGAACTCATGTTGCCGTAGTCCGGGGGTGAAGCCGGAGATTAGGATGTCATTAACTCCGAAGCCGGAAAAGATCAACTAGAACCACAAGTCCTTAGCCCCTTGTCTGCTCATCACCTACAAACCGCCATGAACACATGATATGCAGCTCACTATCCCTGGCCTTTGTAGCTATAGATATAAGCCTTTCATAGACGAAAGGCCTCGTGCACACGCTCATAATAGCTCGCCATAGGTGATCTCTTACTCAGTACTTCCCAATACTCCGCGCTCAGATGCAGGCGGTACTGCCACTAGGATAGCAGCATGGGAGTACATGTACCTAATGCCAGGCTGATTCCCATACTACAGCATTTAGCTTTTAATCTTGTTCAAGAGCGAGGAAAACACTTACCGTCGCATGATACATATCAATCTCGAGACACTGAGGCTCGTTGACCCATTCTACCATCCGATAATCATCGCTCCAGAACTGAACAAACTTGTCCATTTCGTGCTCTTCTACCACCACATCACAACACCAACGACCTCCCAGCTCTCCCACTACACTATGTGTGCGGAAAAGTGGGGGCCATGGTGTATCCTCGTACAAGTAGTCGGGCTTATGTTCTTGCGGGAGTGCTTCTTCCGTATCGAGGTAATTTTGAAACTCGTCGGTTGTGATGTCGAGAATTGCGCGCACTTCGAGGTTGAGGTTGAGCGCTTTGAAAACGGTATAGACGGCCATGTCGGAGCCTTTGAGGATAGCTAGGAAGGCTTCGGCATTGTTGCAGTGGGTGTGGGCATAGTAGTGTTGGTAATAGATGTCTAGTTGGCCACCTATAGACTTGGTTAGTGTTTTGATGAATGTGAACATCTCGGGGCATGCTGGCTTACCATCGGGCATGAAGTCGCTCTTCTTTAGCATATCTTGTACATGGTGGAAAAGGGGGATAGACGTCATTTCCAGTGCCTCACTGTAGTCCGTCATATTCCCTACACCGGGACTGTGGTAGAGGTTGTAGGTCAAGGTGATGCGATGACCGTTTGTCACTTCGAGTACTTCGTGCTCGCAGTCGCTATAGAATGCCGCCCATTTTATGCAAGGTTTGAAGCTTTCCTGGTCGTCAGAGCCCCAGTCAAATGTCTGGGAGTTTCCAGCATGTTGCACCACAAGCTGGCCTCCTGTGTGGTAGCAGGGAAGAGAGACAACGAGGGACCCGAACTGAGCAGAAGACCGCGGGGTATCGACATGAGACTTGAAAAATCCAGAAGGAGCAGCGTAGATCTGGATTGCAATCAGTTTTTAGTCTAAATAAGAGCGGCATCCGCGACCTACATTCAAGTTGTACAACTCAGCGTAAATTCCGGTGATGCCTTCATAGCCACTGCTGTTTGGTAGCAGCATCTGCGCAATCGTGTCAATGATTCCCTCCTCGTAAGGAAAGAAGTCTACGCACAAGGCGGAACGGTCCATTTTTGTTGGTTTGCAGTAGGATTCATCGAGTACAGCTTCACCATTGTGACCAAAGCTTGCAGGCTGACATGCATCCATCAGCTGAGCCAAAGCCATGGCCCCAGTCTCGTCCTGCGGATCCAAAGGAAACGATAGTCGCGAAGTGACGGTCTGAGCTTGCTGTGAATCCCAACGCAAGACCACTGGGGTTTGAGTGGAATTGACTGCTTCGGCATTGTTCTGCTCTTCAGCATCGCTCTGCTCTTCGGCATCGCTCTGCTCTAGTTAGTAAACAGTAAATAGTTCCGATACAGACTACGAGTGTACATATCCCAGTGGCTACTGCGCCACCGCAGGCAAAAGTAGCACACTTGCCCTTTATGAATATGCCCAGCTGCTGAGCGATGGTAGAGGTGTAGTCGGGCAGCACCCTGGAACTCTCCGGGCTTGAGGGCTGATTAGAGTCCATGGTCTCGGTGTGTTCCAATTTCAACTAAGAGATTGTACATGTTTTGGAAAGAGTCAGTGTGGCCCTCTTTAAGTCGCGTTAAGGTTGTACAATATCGCGAAGTCACGTGACGCCAGGCGCCAGTTTGCTCTTAGCATCATTTAGCGTCGCACACGTTAAGCATCATCATTCCTCTAGAGATTACATGCAATATATGCGTAATATCGCGAATTCCAATGTCTATATTGCGACCTGTTGTGAAATCGGACTTTAGTAGAAACTTAGAAGGTTGTGTCAAGGTAGAAAGTTACGACCAGGTGGGGTATGGAGTCTTGGACCTCGGTCCAGACGGTACATAGTTTGTTAGGCGGCACTTCCAAAAATGGCATCTCGCATTTTCGCTGCAGCAAGTGCAAAACGTCATCACACAACATGACATACGTTACTCGACAGCCCATCAAGGGCGTATACGTACTCGGTGCGCTCTTGTTTGAGCTCGCACTTACCCCATTCTATATCATCAAATATTGTATTGGATCCTGTCGCCAGCATCAGAAATGGACACTTCGACAAGCTATCCTCGTACGCGTTGTTTCCTCGGCGCTTTATCATTTTGCAGCTGTGCAAGTTGAGACGCCGCTCCCACTCACAGCAGACAGAGAAAAAGAGCGTTTTGTGGTTATTAAGCCGGCAAAAGACGATGCGTACAAAGGACCACTGAGGAGCAATAAGGATGTGGTGCCAGTAGAGATTGGCGCGACATGGTATCCAGCGCCGTTGACTAGTGGTAGCGACACCAGCAATGTCAGGGTTATTCTTCACATGCATGGCGGTGCATTTGTAGTGGGTAAGTTGCGTGAATTGAAGCTTGGGATATCTTGCTAATGCTACGCAGGAGATGGACGAACGTTCGGAACCGGTTATATGGCCAACAAGTTTCTCAAATACACGCCTGCTACACACGTATTTAGCCCCCAGTATCGACTTTCCACACTCCCCGCCTCGAAGACGTCGAATGCCTTCCCAGCCGGACTTCAAGACGCCGTGACGTCATACCTCTACCTTGTCCATGACTTGAAGATCCCCCCGAAGAACATCGTAGTCTCCGGCGATTCAGCTGGCGGAAATCTCGCAACCGTCCTAGTTCGCTATCTCTCTGAGTACGGACCTGAACTGGATCTACCTACTCCCTTGGCGGCGCTGCTCTGGTCGCCGTGGATAGACCCCTCGAACACATCTTGCTCTTATGTCCACGACAACCCAAATTATAAGACCGACATGCTTTCCCCGCCGCTCACTCAATGGGGCTCAGCCGCGTACGCTGGTCTACCTGGTCTACAGACCCTATCTCAACCATACATATCGCAGAAGGATAAGACTTTCAAATGCGAGGTACCTATGTGGGTAAATGTTGGAGGCGCTGAAGTACTATACTATGATGTCGTTGAATGGGCACAAAAGATGAAAGAAGCGGGCAATGATGTGCAGCTGGATATTGACGAGTATGCGCCGCACGATATACTGGCACAGGGCAATATCCTGGGTTTCAACAAGGAGGCTGTTGGCATGGCCAAGAGAGCCGGTGTGTGGCTTAAGGAGCATGGTATATAGAGACAGCGACAAAAGGTGAACGTTATATTGATGTGGATAAGCGCTTCGGCTTTTCTCAGTGGATGGTGTAATTATTTAACACAGTCTATAGAAGCAGGAGCTACCCAGGTACCAATGGACCATGAACCTTCTTCAATCTATCTCAACAATATATCTCAATCGATTTACCAGGAGCTACGCCAGACCACATTTGGATTCAACGTCGTTTTTCGGCGTTTCAGTTGGTAGTGTTCCATCGATACCCAGCGAGTATGGCGTATTGTTCAAACGATATGGACGAAACTCGAGGTTCATCATCCTGATGACTACCAGGCGGATCATTCAAGGAAGGCAAAGTACCGACAGATGTCTGCGCTTGAACCTTGTCCTGGCTGGCGTTGTCTTCGAGGTATACTTGCAGACACACACGACCAGTTTTGGTATCAAAATGTCTTTTGAGCTCGTCACCGCGGTTAAAGGCACGACCGCATCCCCATGTCTCCCCGTTCCGGAGAGGTCCATAGCACTTTAACTTCTTGTCTGAATGGCCACGTTCGTGTCGAATAAGATCTTTCCGGCGGGCAAATGCCTTAGCGCAAGTGGAACAGCTAAAAGGCTTCTCGTTGGTGTGTGTGCGGCTATGGGATCTTAGGTTATGTCTTTGCCCAAATCTCTTTCCACATCCCTCGAAAGGACATGCAAAATATGGATGATTCTGATCCAGTTGTGGTTCCTTCGCATCTTCAACTTGTTCATCCGGAAAATCTGCGTTTGGGTTCACGACTTTTCCATGACAGTCTTCTGCATGCTTTTGCAAATCTTGTGCAGTTATACACCCAATGGTGGCCTGAGGGCAGCCTTCTTCTGTGCACATGAAGGATCTCTCATGTTTAAGAACGTGATGGTCTCGAATAGCGAGTTTTGCAAAGCCTTTCCAATAGAATTGGCAGTTGAGCCGCGGACACTTGTACAGATTAGTTCCATAAAAGCCGTGTAGTGTCTTTTTTTCTTTATTCGTTGCGTGTGGGGATGATACCATGCTCTCCAGTTCGGTTCGGATTGCTCGTACAGCATCTGCGAGTTTCAATGGCTCATCGTCGGAAGGACCTTTTCCTGTGGACAACAGCTGGTTTTTAGTAGAAACGACAGCCTGGCAAATGCTATCGTATATGTCGCTACCGGTAAGCGAGTCAAGGACCTTTTCGATGGTTGGTGAAACCACCAAGGACTTTTTCGGTGAAGCCCATTGGACATCCATGAGGGAGTTGATAGCCTCTTCCAGATCTTCCAGCTTACGAGATGGTAGTTTATGAATGATCTGAACCGCCTCGATGACATGATATGCCCAGAAACATGACGCATAATCTGCAAAAGCGTAATCGCCCCTGTATAGCGCATCGTGTATATAGTCCACCTCCGCTGGATGAATGAATTGGGTGAGACTCAGATAGGTTACGCAAAGTTGCGCAAGGTCGAACTCTACTTCTGGTACTGATATGTAGCCTTTGTTTACGAGAAACCTAAGGAATCATTAATAGCTCATAAACGGATAGAGATACATACATCTTTGCTGTAGAATGCACAAGCATCACGGATCCATCGGTTGTGCGTTCCACGAGTGAAGCACACAAATCTTTGCAATCATCCTCGAATCGCATGTCCAGACAGATATCGCCTTCTTTCAAGTCGACAGAAACGGCCCCTTGAATCTCGTACCATTGCAAGGCACGTTCAGTACAAGCCAGCCATCCTAAGAGCTTTCTTGCGCTGTTTCTGCGGGATATTGGCTGTACAGTTGGTCCGATGATTCGATCTACAATTCGTGCATATCTACTACAAATTAACAAGTACTTAAAAAAGCATCTAAGGACTTACATCTGCTCCAGTCCATCCGGAAAGACTTCAGGGCTCATCTCCCGGTAGAATTCTTTTTTTGTAGGCTGCTCATGCAGGTTCCACATCACAAGCTTTGCATACAAAAACATTCCTGGCTACATATCAGTTTCTTGTTGAGACTTTGATGAATAAATAGTATCTTGAGCTCTTGCTGCTACCAGTTTAGAGATATTGTAGTCGTTAGGGTCAAGGGGGCCGAACCTTTCCTCGATCCGCTGATGCCACATCTGACAATACACCTCAATATCTGCCTGCGTATGCATAGCAGTTAACACTAATGAAGTACAATCTGAGAGGTCTTTGCGGGCAAACCCATCGTCTTGGCTAACAAACAGGCATCGTAGCTGACCTAGGTCTTGTCTCGGAATACTACGAACCTGTTCCTTGAACCAGATGGAGATTTCTTTACGATCTTCGCGCGCATACTCATCTAAGCCGTCAATGATGATGTAGGTCTTCTGGGAAGTGGGAAAGGTCTGCAGCGCTATCGCAAGGAGCGTCTTTGCCATGCTTCTACTGGAAAGCACAGCTTCTCCACTTGCCTGCGCGGTTTCAAAGACCTTCAATAGCAGCATATCGTTTTCCACTACTAGTTGAGATATGATTGTCCTTGCGACAGCAACCAAGGCGTTACGGTCGCCATCAGTGTTCCGGCAGTAAAAGAAGGCTACTCTTGCCTGAGGGAGGCATCTACAGGCATCAATGACCCGTGAAGCTAGTATGGTTTTTCCTTTGATCATTAAATTCATACAGTAAAATCTTCACGAGAACTTACCGGCTCCAGGCATACCAGACAGCCGTAGCAAGGGCTCCCAACAAGACTGAAAATCATACCATTTACGGAAAATGGAGTTCTGTAGAAGCCAATCGCCGCTGTTAGCATGTCGGTTTTTGATGGCATCTTCGTGCCTGGCCTGAACGTCGAGCCTACACAGCCACTGCTGCACAGTCAGGCGTTTCCGATGAAGTTCCACCTGCTTCAGCTCTTCAAAATGCATCATAGATTCACTGTGCGAACTCTGCATTGCTTCGTAACCCGCGATCGAGATTTGGTTCTCTATGAGCTTCTTGTATCGATGCATGTCCTTGTTGAGCTGGGCGACGGTTTTGCTGAATGGGCGCCATGTGGTGTGAAACAGTTCCTGCCATTCTAATACTTGTTAGGAACGAGCATTTGGTTAACAATGAAACCTTACTTTTCTGTCGAAAATATCGCAGGGCTTCCTTGTGAAACTCAAGTATATCTTTGTAGATATTTACCAATGCAAGCTGCATGTGTGTGTTATTCTGGAACAGCGTTTGGTACTGGGCAAACTGTGGCATACTTTCGCCGATCTCGAGATACATGTCTAGTAGAGAATTGAACGCATCCGTATAGTTCCGAGCTGTTAGCAAGAGAAACTTCATT